TACTTCAGTTCCTGTTTTGTATTAATAGTCTGACTGAGCATTACTTGTGCTATTTAGCCAGTATCACCCCTCCCCCCCCCCCCCCCCCGCGATTACTTTAATACTCTTAGCCTCTAATAGATACTGGGTTTGACATTTTTCGTTTTTATACATGCAATACCACATGAACCGGCAACAGCATCAGCGCATTCGCGCCGTCACCGTCAGTCGCCTCAATTCGCCAAATGTCTTCCTGTCCCATCGCTTTAGCTAGCCTGCATCCTTTACTTAAGTGTTATATTAATACATGAACACGTCAAGTGATGACCCAACATTGCTCGGGCTAAAAGACAGCTACATGTAGAATCAAATAACCCCTTTTGACAAAATGTACGAATGATATTTATATAACTATTAAGCCCACAGTTCAACACTCACTTGACATGCTGTGAACACCTTCTGGTGGCTGCGTGGCACATGCAGTGACAGGCGGCGATAAGAAGCCCCGGACGATGGCACTCTCGAATTGCGTAAAAGCTGTCCCGAGTGTCAGTTGTCAATCACTGCCGGAACATCGCTACTTCTTCGTGGCTGTGGTGTATCTCGAATAGAATAACAAACTATTTCGCGACGACGATGAGAGACCATCGTGTTAGTCTCGTGGTGGAGCGGCCTGGGGGGCGGTTGTCGACTCCGATGACCCCGTGGCAGATTGGGACCGAGGTCGTTCGGAACGAGTTCGTTCCTGTCGATAGACACACGTTGCCAGCGACAGCCTTTTACTCGGACAAGGACCGATTCACGCACAAGTATCCGGCTGATCCGTCTCAGAACATGGTCCTAATAGCCAGGAAGTCAGGCGAATCAGAGGAAGAATCCGACTACAAGGGGCAGTACAGGGTGCGTGAATGATGCAAAGACTGCTACGAGGAGGTGCCGAAATTGACGAGACTTGTGTGAACTAAATGACATAGATATGGCCGGGATTGCTGCTGCTTTTCACAATTGTCGCGGTCGCCATGCTTCTCATTACGAAAGGAGCAATGGACACATACCAAGCACGCACAGCACGTGCGATGGACTATGAGCAGCACGTGGCAGGCAAGCGCTCGATTAAAGACGGCAAAACGGACGACAACATCATCATCTCGGATGACGGACAAGTCGGAAACCCAAAGTCGTACGATACCAGCGTCAGTACGTTGTTTAATCTTGCAACAGGGATATCGTATTAGTAAAAGACACCCTAACGTATAGCTGCACTGTAGCGTGTGAGATGCCCGACTATCAGAGCAAGAACGGCCAGATCGTGGCGGTTGCAGCTAATGGGACTGAAGTTCCCATTCAAATCAAGGGCGTCAACTGGTTCGGTATGGAGACAGCACTTGCAGTTCCATTCGGACTTTGGGAGAACGCTGACAACGGCACCACAGCGGTGAGTGACTTGATTTTGTGCTCTGTCGAAGTATACAGAGTGTTTCTAACCCTCGTTATTGCAAACAGTACGAGATCGCGGCGTTCTTGGCACGACACAACTTTAACGCAGTGAGATTACCGGTTTCTGTCGAGAATATTCTCAACAACAATTCGCCTCAGAAAGGTGTGATCAATCTCTCGAGCAACCGCGCAATCAATGGGTCGAACTTCATCTCCACTCTACAGACACTCGTCAAGTCTCTCGCTTACCGCAATGTCGGTGTGTTGATTAGTATGCACCGACTCACGAACAAAAAGTCAGGCGCTACATGGTTCGATGAAGATCTCGGTGTGACTCAGGACGACTTCCTTAGTGCTGTTGATATCGTGTCGTCCAACCTCTGTGGCAAAGAGTACTGGAACGTCATGGGACTGGATCTGAAGAATGAGCCGGAGAAAGCGACGTGGGGGACTGGAGACGACGACGATTTCGTGGCGGGGTGTGAGAAAATAGCGAAGGTGATGCACGGTAATTGTCCCCAGTGGCTGGGCTTCGTGGAGGGTGTAGTGTCCACACATACAGTCACGATTGGTGGTGAGGAACTCGACTACTACGACTGGTGGGGTGGTGGTCTGCAGAAGGCAAGGGATACTCAACCCAAGTTCACAATCGAGAACAAAGTAGTGTGGGCACCTCATTACTACACCACTGCTGTGGCCCCACAGAGATATTTCTATGGGGACGGAACGACATCGGACTTCTCGACGTATGTGGAGCTATCAGATGAAGATCTTCTTGCACGTGTGGAGGGGACGATGGATGACATGTTTGGGTACTTAGCAGACGACAAAGGGTATGCTCTGCTCTTGGGGGAATTTGCAGGTTTGTACACTAAAGACGCTCATCCCAAAAAGACGACGAAGCGAACGACGGATCTGACGATCCAAGTGCTGATGGAAAAAGAGTACGCCGGTGGATTTATGTGGTCGTTGAATCCAGAGAGTGAGTACCAGTACAACCCAGCAGACACGGAAGGAGCGTTTACGGAAGGCATGCTGCTGGATGATTGGCTATCTCCGAACAGTGAGTTTCTAGATGCGTTTACACCTATGGATGCTATGCCGAATCTCCGCAAATTCCCATGCTTCCCTGTTAATAAAGACAGATAGATTCACTGTAAAACTTTAATCTGAACAACGACAGTGATCCTCTTGCTCCTCTTAAAAAAAACATATATGCACCATGTTTGGACGCAAGAAAAATCCCCTGAGGATAATTAACCCCTTGGTTCCCAACGTCGTAACTTACGACAACGAAATTGCTATGTCGTAAGTTACGACATAATGAGACTTACATTAGGAAATGGCTCAAGCAATACTTTAACCAAGTCATTTAAATATAATAAGGTTCAAGAGGTAACTGGGGTAAATCCAAAAACAAGACAGGGAAAGGGGTGCAGAAAATCAGTTCCCACTGGATATTTTCCCGCGCCCAGCCACGGGACCTGTAAGACCACTCATTCCAGAATTTGCCGGATGGCGCGCATCCGGTCCAGCAAACGCGGAATGACCGCCGCCGTTGCCACCGTCGCTCGAGACATCGACTTTCGCCATTTCTGGAGGCAGCTGAAGGCGGTAGGCTGGACATCAAAAAGACCAAGCGGCCTCGCGAGAGAGTGGAGCTACACAAGCCCCGATGGAGCTAGCGTGCTCATTGGTGAGAGCGCGCTAGTCGCACACGCTCTGAAGTCGGGATTGCTGGGCGAGAGTGAGAACGTAGACGACGTAGACATCGGAGACAAGGGCGTTGCGGATGAGAGTCCGGCGAGTAAGGAGGTAGGAGATGTGGAGGTGGCGGAAGCGTACGAAAAGACGGTAAGCGAATCTAGTGCTGCACTCACGTGTCCAGTACCAGCTACACAAGCCTCGATGGACGAGGCCATTCGGTTGTCGCGGATTGACACGAGCGCTCAGCTTTCTCAAGAAACGCTGAACGCGTTGTTCGGCTCGTCGAGCGAGTCGGACGATGAGCTCAATCAGTCAGTGGTGACAAGGGCATTCGTCACGCAACTTAGCGACCTTCACGCTGATGAATCACATCGAGATGCGGCTGCAAGCTTGCATATGCTGTTGGAGGCGTCTGGGGTAGAGAGCGAGACAGAGCAAGATATTGTGCCAGCTACTGCAGACCGCGTCTTGCGCCCACGCGCTCATGTGAAGAAGGACATCAACTTCGTACCGGAGGACGAGAAGATGAGCTCCGACGAGAGTTTCAGCTCCGGTGAGAGCGACGGAGGAGTACTCGATGAAGACGAGATAGCAGAGCCTGCAGATCGCGGTGAACGAGATGCAGATGATGACGTCTTGTCTGAAGACGATGCTGTGTATATGGACGAAGCTTTCGTGGCTTCGCTCCAGATTGGTGGAAATGCGCTTGACAAGCGTGCTATAAAGCAGCGCGAGGAGCGATTACGTGCAATGGAGTGAACGCCTGTGCCATCGGTGTTTGAAGAAGGCGTGGCCGCGTACTCGGGGCTCAGTTATGAAGACGTTCATCCAGTTCGCGAGCTATGTGACCTCAGTCACTCCCCTATTCAAACATTTTCTACTTCATGTCCAAGTCACTGTGGGTCAATATTAACGTGGATACTAATAGGTACGGCCTTCAGCAAGTTGACAGACGTGCTCAGGCTATTCAAGCCAAGCAAGTGGGAAGTCGTCGCGATACAGTGAAGCAAATACGACGTCGTTTGAAGTCAAAGTCTGGCTACCAAACCCACGAGATTCTGCACGTTATTGGTCTTCTTGTGGCACGGATGCTGTGTCCACAGAAGCGCCGCTTTGCAGCGCATTGGGCTATGGTCGAGGATGGTGCGGTGCCAGCAGGCACCTTTGGTCGTTTCATGGCTCGCAATCGATGCCAAGACATCATGCGCGACCTACACTTTGTTGACAACGAGGCCGAGCGAACACGTGACAAGCTATGGAAGCTCAGGCCTGTTGTAGACAAGATACAGCAACGATTTCTTACGGGATGGTCTCTCCAAGCCGTTTTTTCGTTTGATGAAGGTGTTTTGCCTTCTACTTCAAATCGGAACACAACCTTTTACCAAGTCATTTAAAATATAATAAGGTTCAAGAGGTAACTGGGGTTAATCCAAAAACAAGACAGGGAAAAGGGGTGCAGAAAATCAGTTCCCACTGGATATTTTCCCGCGCCCAGCCACGGGACCTGTAAGACCACTCATTCCAGAATTTGCCGGATGGCGCGCATCCGGTCCAGCAAACGCGGAAAGACCGCCGCCGTTGCCACCGTCGCTCGAGACATCGACTTTCGCCATTTCTGGAGGCAGCTGAAGGCGGTAGGCTGGACATCAAAAAGACCAAGCGGCCTCGCGAGAGAGTGGAGCTACACAAGCCCCGATGGAGCTAGCGTGCTCATTGGCGAGAGCGCGCTAGTCGCATACGCTCTGAAGTCGGGATTGCTGGGCGAGAGTGAGAACGTAGACGACGTAGACATCGGAGACAAGGGCGTTGTGGATGAGAGTCCGGCGAGTAAGGAGGTAGGAGATGTGGAGGTGGCGGAAGCGTACGAAAAGACGGTAAGCGAATCTAGTGCTGCACTCACGTGTCCAGTACCAGCTACACAAGCCTCGATGGACGAGGCCATTCGGTTGTCGCGGATTGACACGAGCGCTCAGCTTTCTCAAGAAACGCTGAACGCGTTGTTCGGCTCGTCGAGCGAGTCGGACGATGAGCTCAATCAGTCAGTGGTGACAAGGGCATTCGTCACGCAACTTAGCGACCTTCACGCTGATGAATCACATCGAGATGCGGCTGCAAGCTTGCATATGCTGTTGGAGGCGTCTGGGGTAGAGAGCGAGACAGAGCAAGATATTGTGCCAGCTACTGCAGACCGCGTCTTGCGCCCACGCGCTCATGTGAAGAAGGACATCAACTTCGTACCGGAGGACGAGAAGATGAGCTCCTACGAGAGTTTTAGCTCCGGTGAGAGCGACGGAGGAGTACTTGATGAAGACGAGATAGCAGAGCCTGCAGATCGCGGTGAACGAGATGCAGATGATGACGTCTTGTCTGAAAACGATGCTGTGTATATGGACGAAGCTTTCGTGGCTTCGCTCCAGATTGGTGGAAATGCGCTTGACAAGCGTGCTATAAAGCAGCGCGAGGAGCGATTACGTGCAATGGAGTGAGCGTCTGTGTCATCGGTGTTTGAAGAAGGCGTGGCCGCGTACTCGGGGCTCAGTTATGAAGACGTTCATCCAGTTCGCGAGCTATGTGACCTCAGTCACTCCCCTATTCAAACATTTTTCTACTTCATGCCCAAGTCACTGTGGGTCAATATTAACGTAGAGACTAATAGGTACGGCCTTCAGCAAGTTGACAGACGTGCTCAGGCTATTCAAGCCAAGCAAGTGGGAAGTCGTCGCGATACAGTGAAGCAAATACGACGTCGTTTGAAGTCAAAGTCTGGCTACCGAACCCACGAGATTCTGCACGTTATTGGTCTTCTTGTGGCACGGATGCTGTGTCCACAGAAGCGCCGCTTTGCAGCGCATTGGGCTATGGTCGAGGATGGTGCGGTGCCAGCAGGCACCTTTGGTCGTTTCATGGCTCGCAATCGATGCCAAGACATCATGCGCGACCTACACTTTGTTGACAACGAGGCCGAGCGAACACGTGACAAGCTATGGAAGCTCAGGCCTGTTGTAGACAAGATACAGCAACGATTTCTTACGGGATGGTCTTTCCAAGCCGTTTTTTCGTTTGATGAAGGTGTTTTGCCTTCTACTTCAAATCGGAACATAACCTTTTACCAAGTCATTTAAAATATAATAAGGTTCAAGAGGTAACTGGGGTTAATCCAAAAACAAGACAGGGAAAGGGGTGCAGAAAATCAGTTCCCACTGGATATTTTCCCGCGCCCAGCCACGGGACCTGTAAGACCACTCATTCCAGAATTTGCCGGATGGCGCGCATCCGGTCCAGCAAACGCGGAATGACCGCCGCCGTTGCCACCGTCGCTCGAGACATCGACTTTCGCCATTTCTGGAGGCAGCTGAAGGCGGTAGGCTGGACATCAAAAAGACCAAGCGGCCTCGCGAGAGAGTGGAGCTACACAAGCCCCGATGGAGCTAGCGTGCTCATTGGTGAGAGCGCGCTAGTCGCACACGCTCTGAAGTCGGGATTGCTGGGCGAGAGTGAGAACGTAGACGACGTAGACATCGGAGACAAGGGCGTTGTGGATGAGAGTCCGGCGAGTAAGGAGGTAGGAGATGTGGAGGTGGCGGAAGCGTACGAAAAGACGGTAAGCGAATCTAGTGCTGCACTCACGTGTCCAGTACCAGCTACACAAGCCTCGATGGACGAGGCCATTCGGTTGTCGCGGATTGACACGAGCGCTCAGCTTTCTCAAGAAACGCTGAACGCGTTGTTCGGCTCGTCGAGCGAGTCGGACGATGAGCTCAATCAGTCAGTGGTGACAAGGGCATTCGTCACGCAGCTTAGCGACCTTCACGCTGATGAATCACATCGAGATGCGGCTGCAAGCTTGCATATGCTGTTGGAGGCGTCTGGGGTAGAGAGCGAGACAGAGCAAGATATTGTGCCAGCTACTGCAGACCGCGTCTTGCGCCCACGCGCTCATGTGAAGAAGGACATCAACTTCGTACCGGAGGACGAGAAGATGAGCTCCTACGAGAGTTTCAGTTCCGGTGAGAGCGACGGAGGAGTACTTGATGAAGACGAGATAGCAGAGCCTGCAGATCGCGGTGAACGAGATGCAGATGATGACGTCTTGTCTGAAAACGATGCTGTGTATATGGACGAAGCTTTCGTGGCTTCGCTCCAGATTGGTGGAAATGCGCTTGACAAGCGTGCTATAAAGCAGCGCGAGGAGCGATTACGTGCAATGGAGTGAGCGTCTGTGCCATCGGTGTTTGAAGAAGGCGTGGCCGCGTACTCGGGGCTCAGTTATGAAGACGTTCATCCAGTTCGCGAGCTATGTGACCTCAGTCACTCCCCTATTCAAACATTTTTCTACTTCATGCCCAAGTCACTGTGAGTCAATATTAACGTAGAGACTAATAGGTACGGCCTTCAGCAAGTTGACAGACGTGCTCAGGCTATTCAAGCCAAGCAAGTGGGAAGTCGTCGCGATACAGTGAAGCAAATACGACGTCGTTTGAAGTCAAAGTCTGGCTACCAAACCCACGAGATTCTGCACGTTATTGGTCTTCTTGTGGCACGGATGCTGTGTCCACAGAAGCGCCGCTTTGCAGCGCATTGGGCTATGGTCGAGGATGGTGCGGTGCCAGCAGGCACCTTTGGTCGTTTCATGGCTCGCAATCGATGCCAAGACATCATGCGCGACCTACACTTTGTTGACAACGAGGCCGAGCGAACACGTGACAAGCTATGGAAGCTCAGGCCTGTTGTAGACAAGATACAGCAACGATTTCTTACGGGATGGTCTCTCCAAGCCGTTTTTTCGTTTGATGAAGGTGTTTTGCCTTCTACTTCAAATCGGAACACAGCCCGCATGTTTATGCCGGACAAGCCTCACCGCTACGGGTCCAAGATGTTCATGGTCTGCGACTCAAGAACTGCTTATTGCCACAGGTACATTCACTTGTTTTTATTTATGTCGTAACTTATGACGTGTTTTGCTAAATATAAGTGTTTATGTCGTAACCTTTTTAGATTCGAAGTTTACGCTGGAAAACGAGATGTCAGTGACGGCGCAGACAACTCAGTTGATCATAAGACCGGTGCTGCAGCGGTCATTAAAATCTGAAGATTGTGCTTGGAACGAACTCGCGACACGCGTGGCATGCAGTAGTTGTCGACCGGTTCTACTCGTCCGTCTTACTTGTCATCGAGCTTCTCGGCATGAGCATCTACGTAATTGGCACTATCATGATCAACCGGTTGGGTTTGGACAAGAACATCGTTGAGAAGCGACAGTCGCGGCCAGCTAGGATCCCTCTTGGGTCCTTCACCTTCTCTCGGTCCGTTGCGGTACCTAGCATGATCGTGTTTCACTGGTGGGACCGCAAGCCTGTGCACTACTTGTGCACAGGCTCTGTAATGACACCTTCGACAATCAACCGGAAAGTGAAGCAGGTGGGACCTATCACAGTACCGTGTCCGGCCGCTGTAACAGACTACCAGCGCTGGATGGGCGGAGTTGATGTGCACGATCAACTCCGCCTTCAAAATTACTCTCTACAACTGTCAACCAAGTTCAAGAAATACTACAAAAGCTTATTCTTAGGCTTTATCGATTTAGTATTGGTGAACTCTTACATTTCGCACAAGGAAGCTGCAACAATGAAGGGAACACCGATTATGACGCGCGGAGAGTGGTTTGGTGTCCTCCAGAACCAGCTCCTTCAGCTAAAAGCTGGGGACTTCGCCAATGTGGCTGTAACGCCACCACAAACTGGTCAGACTCGCAGGCGTGCACCTGTCAGTATTACGCACACGGTTCAGCAGTCTGAGGACTGGGTAACCGTCAGCGGAGTTCAGAAGCGTCGTCAAAGGTCTTGCAAGGTCTGCGCTCTTCTACGAATGGACAGAAAGAAGAAGTCGTTTGCGACGACCTTCTTCTGCGAGCGCTGTTCCGTCGACGAAGCAAAATGCTGGCTGTGTAACAAGATCTGTCGTCCGTACAAGGGAACTGCAAAGACATGCTTCGAGATTTGGCACGACGACTTCGACTGCGGTCAAGCCATTCCACGTACCTTGGGGAAGAGGGTCGTCTTGCGACGCCCAGGTCGGGAAGCTGGAGCACGAAAGAGAAACGCGCCGGGAGCTACACCTTCGTGATGCTGCTGAAAACGTCGATAATGAGAATGAGAGCGAGCCGAAGTGATACTGTCTGCAGACGTGCTGATGAGTGTTAGCATATGTCAAATCGTAATGCTTACTTCTTTGAATTGATGTACCTTTTGACTCACCTTTTACTATCAAATAGGATTCTAAGGCGGCTCTTTGTACCATCTTCCACTGTCTCTGTTGTGGTATGGTAGGAAGTTACGAGATTGAGTGCAATGTGGTGATTGGAAAGGTGTATAATTTACGACATTGCTAAAACAACCTGCTCAAACTTGATACCTTCCCGCAAGTGGAAAGTCTACTAAATACAAATCACAAGTGACATGGTTATGTCGTATTATACGACATATATTTAAGCGTTTTCGATACACTTTTCCGGGAACCAAGGGGTTAATAATAAAGTACCACGTAATGTGATCTGCATGTTGAAGTTTTAAAAAGTATAATTGTGTGAGCTACACCATGCCAACGTCATTCATCACTTTAGTGACAAGGTCACTGGTCATTTCATTGCGTTACGCGTGGAAAGAGCCCGAGTTGTGATTGTGTGACGAGGTTCGCTCTCCTGCTTCTCGTATCAGCCGAGTCCCGCCGTCTCCAGTCGCATTTGTATCCATGAGCAAATGGTCGCGCTTCGTAGCGCTGGCAGTCGCTGCGTTGGTCCCGTACGTCTCTGCCGACGTCGAGACGCACGAGGTTCGTCTACCATCATAAGCTCCGACCTCATTTGCATGTTGCTAATACTTTCATCTCCTCACAGTACGCTCCAGGCGAGGAAGTGGTCGTCTGGGTGAACAAGATCGGTCCATTCAACAACCCGCAAGAGACGTACACGTACAATACGCTGCCCTTCTGTCGCGCTCCCGGCGCCGAAGATCCCGAAGCGCATGCACTGGGTATCGGTGAGATCTTGGAAGGCAACGAGCTGTTAAATTCGGGTCAGCAGATTAAATTCGGTGTCAATTCCCCCAAGACGAAGCTCTGTGAGCAGACGTTGACAGACGCCGACGCGCTGCAATTCGGCGCCGCAGTGGACGAACATTACTGGTACCAAATGAGTGTGGACGATCTGCCTGTGTGGGGCCTCGTGGGTAAGGTCATGAAACCCACAGACGACGTCGAGTACCTTAAGCAATTCCCAGTGGGGACACGCGTGTTGTACACACACAAAAAGTACTCGATATCTCACAACGGACCGCACATTATCCACGTCAACTTGACCTACTCCGACGTGCTGACGTCCATCGCGTCGAACAAGCAGGTCGACTTCACCTACGAAGTTGTGTGGTCCGAGACGTCCATCCCGTTCGAAGATCGCTTCGATCGCTACTTGGAGGACGAGTTCTTCGAGCACCAGATCCACTGGTTCTCCATCTTTAACTCGTTTATGATGGTGATTTTCCTCTGTGGACTAGTGGCGCTCATCCTGCTGCGTACACTTAAGAACGACTATGCAAGATTCGCAGAGGATGACGCTGAGGAGCTCATGATGGACGGGAAGTCGTCACTTTTGAAAGACGACGCCAACTCGGGGTGGAAATTATTGCATGGCGACGTGTTCCGTGCACCTCCTTACTTGTTGCTGTTCACGGCGTTGGTGGGGACTGGTGCGCAGCTGCTGGTGCTGTCGGCTTGCTTGATGCTCATCGCGATCGGGTCGTCGCTCTACATTGAGCCTGGTGGTATCGTCTCAGTGGGCCTCACCGTCTACGCGTTCTCGTCACTGGCTAACGGATACGCGAGTGGGGCGTTCTACCACCAGTTCTTCTACCCGCGCGTGTCGAAAGATTGGATCCGTGCCATGTGTCTATCGTCGGCGCTGCTCCCCACTGTCACATTTGTGTCTGTGTTCTTCATCAATGCGCTGGCTGTGTTCTACGGAACGACGTATGCTATCCCCTTCGTGACCATCGTGCAGGTTGTGCTCGTGTGGTTCTTCGTGTCGTGTCCTTTGGCCGTTCTGGGCACGATCTTGGGTCGTCACGGCGCTGCGAAGGCCGGTTTCCCGTGTCGCGTCAACAAGTTCCCGCGTGAAGTCCCCGAAGCGCGCTGGTATCTGCGTCCGCCAGTGCTCATTGCACTCACGGGTGTCCTGCCGTTCGGCTCGATCTTCATCGAGATGTACTTCATCTTTGCGTCGTTCTGGAACTACAAGTTCTACTACGTCTACGGATTTATGCTGCTGGTGTTCATCATCCTGACGATCGTGACGCTCTGTGTGACCATCGTGTGCACGTATTTCCTGCTGAACGCCGAGAACTACCGATGGCATTGGACTTCCTTCGCAGCTGCAGGCAGCACCGCTCTCTACGTGTTCGTGTACGCCATCTATTTCTATTTCTTCAAGACCAACATGTCGGGCTTCCTGCAGACTTGCTTCTACTTTGGCTACATGTAAGTTTTAAACGCTTCTATTGGTTACTGCATGGGGTGACTACTAACTTTACCTCGAACTTGTGTGAACTTTTGTAGGGGCCTCTTTTGTTTCGCGTTCTTCATCATGTGTGGCACTGTCGGATACCTCGGCAGCAGCGTGTTCACTAAGCGCATCTATCGCAACATTAAGTGTGAATGAAGCAAGTGCCAGGCGTATCGCTCAGTAGCCACCAGAAAAAGGATGAAGCGGGATTAACTAGAAAAAAATGACGACCTCAGTAGGTTCAAGTGAAATTACTATTTTTTCTTTTTGGCGATGACTTAAGATTCAATAAATGTACAAGTTGCAGTAGGGTTTGCAATAGGGTTTCACCGGCTTGGGCAGGTCAGTTGAAGGAGTCGATGACCTGGCGCATGGCCTGCACTGAGCCAGCTACCATTCCAACGATACCGAAGACGACAATTCCCCAATGGAAGATGCGCGAGGGTAAGGACAGTGTCGATCCCTTGGCCACAAGATAGAGAACGGGAGGCAACACGATCGCCAGCATACTTGAGCCCACGGAGCCGAAGAGGCTGATGAGAAGACCCACGTCCGGCACGCAGACTGCGACCATCATGAGGCTCGTGCACAGCATGGAGCGGAACAGTGTGCGGTTGCATTCGTACGGCGACAAGTTGCACACCAATCGCTCCAAACAGCTCGCTGTTGATCGCGTTGAAGACAAATTGGAAGCAGCTGCGACGGCGGCTGGAGAAGCCATCGGAGAGAACGAGTGACGCATCGTTTGCAGCGAAAAAAGCGACGGTGGACGGCTATTGTGGCTGCTGGTAGACAGCACTACTTCGCGATCGTCGCGGTCGTAGTCTAGTCCACCTTCAGCTCCATGAAGCGAGCGATGTTGCTGTTTCTTCCGAGCCTTGCGACGTCTCCGTGCCTCCAGCGTCACTAGAACAGGTTCAGATGGAGGTGCAGGACGCATCACAGACGTATGCCGCAACATTCGCTCCAGAACGTCAATAGCGGGGTAGAATTGAATCGGAAACGAGAGCGTGCACGCAAAAGCCAACGCGACATTCGCCTACAAGACAAACGGGTAAGGAATTGAGTATCAAAGGTGACGTATCGTCACACAACAGCGACGTACCATAGTAACTAGCCATCCCTCGCAGTAATCGTGTAGCACTGCTGTCATGCTGCCATTATCGATCCGACCGAAGGCGATAGTTGGCACTTCGCCGATAAAAAGGAAGAGCACGAGGATTGCTACCATACAAAGTGCTAGTACACGAGGGAACCGCTCAGGCTCGGCCATTGCGTTCTGTATAGGCAGCACTAGGCCGATTCCCTCAAAGGAATACACAGCTGTGCCGTAGAATTCAGGCAGCTTGCTCCAATCCACTAGCAGACTCGATTCTCGAGGTGTCTTGGGGTGTTTCCAGTAGTCAATGGAGTAGTAGAATACAATAATGATACCCGACAACACGGCCAAGTTGGCTATTCATCGGTGCAGTCAGTAGACGATAACTCACAGGAGAATGCAGTAGGTTAACGCACCGAGACTCGAGAACGGAGTGATACGACGCAGTGTGCGTACCCAGGAGAGCATAAGTAATACAGGGAAAATAGCAAATATGAGTTGTCGTTCATTGATGGCTTCCTGCAGACTGCAATAACGTAGCGGTGAGTGACAGAGATTCAATCATCGTAATTAAAACAATCTCACCTGCCGGGAAGCACGACGTGGATGTTTGTAGCTACAAATGTGAAGTAAACACAGCAGATTCCTAGTTGTGTACCGACCAGAAAGACGTTGATCAGAAGTTTCCCTCTAGGGCCCAGAATCTCCCGCCCCACGTCGCCAAATGACATGGGAGCTTTCGGGCTCACCAACTGCTTGCATCGTAGCAGCAAGTCCATATTATACACCGACACAAGAGCCTACATTCAAACCATTAGCGTCTTCTTCTTTCACTACTACTAACAGTGTAGCCAACTCACCACGATGACAAAGAGCACGGGGCCTGCGTAGATGCCTGTCTTGGAGAAGCCGTTGGGTAACGACATTGCCCCTGGCCCGATGTTTCCCTTAAGCAGATGCACTACCACCGCCGCCACCGAGATCTTCTCCGCAGTTTTGATGGTTCGTACTACAGAAGTCGCCCCGCTCTCTGATCGCTGGTCTTTATTGACTCTAGTGCGTGTCTTAGCAGCTCGTCTACTGCCTCCATCCTGTTCGTTCAACTGAGTCTGCAGTCGTCCCAGCTCCATCTCTAGCGCGGCTTCATCCGACAGTGGAGATGTGGCGGTGCGTGAGCGTTGAGGAGAGCCGCAGGAGCTTCCACCGACCAGCAGTGGCGCTTCCTCCGCCTCGATGCTCATGGTTGCGGTCGTTGTGGCCGCAAATACTCAAGATTGAAGTCAGGCATCATAGACGGCGATCCATAGTAAACGCAAGTTAAAATGAGCAGCTAAATATAGAACTTCAGAATTGAAAATGCGAACATGGCTATATTAAGTTCAACCTTCACGTTCGACGCTGTCATATTTTTTTTTTTGCGGCAGAAGACTTAAGCCATTTGCAGCGTGCTGAGCTCCTGTTGTAGCCAAGAAGACATCAACGTTTCTGCAATTGCAACAACAACAGTCATGGCTACACGTACCAGATTCATAACGATGCGATTCCAGGCCTCCATGTTCTTAACAAGCTGGCGCCACTGAGTCTCGGCGTTATTTCCGCGCACCTGGCGCTGCTCGCTCTTCTCCTGTGCCACCTAGACACCATAATCAACTTCATTTATTTAAAAACACCGCCCAGCTCCAGGTTTCCTGCTCTTGCGCTTACCATTTCGAGGAGAGGAGCAATGTTCTCGGCCAACCCGCTCTTGTTATCGCCATCTACCAAAAAGTAGCCATCAGTATCCACCAAGATAATTCAACATAACAGTGACACAATTCACCTCCTTCAGGCGTCTCTGTCTTCTGTTGTGCTGCCAAATACGACAGTCTCTGAGCCAAATGCTCGTAGAATTCAACACTCAGCTCGTCAATGCGGGTCTGGGGTGGAATTCTCACTTGCTCCTGGTTGGCTTGCAGTCCTGAAGTGTGACGCGCTCTCCAAGGTGCAGTGGTGGGAGATGCGTGCCGACTGCTATTGCTGCGGTCGCCCGACGAGCTGTTCGATCCGCTTCGAGTTCGTGTGCGCCAAATGCTTGGCGTCGTCGGTGCGGCAGTTGGCGTCGTGGCGTCCGTGGCGCTTCCCGATGCGATGCTACCGTCCTCCACCACCAACTGCTGCTTGTTCACGACACTGAAATCCATGTTGCGACTAAAAACCAGGCCACGATAAGCATAACGTCGCACACTTCGCAGACATTTCCATAGTGTAGTAAACGACGTCGCCTGAGAAGCCTATCAAGACACAAAACCCTGTTAAAAATTGTTCTTAGGTGTCGTCAGTACAAACGACACGCTTACCTTGGACGAGCCGATGTGGTATCTCCGATTGGAGAACTCAATCAACACGTGGTGCACATGATCTGGACCCAAATATGACAAAACCAGCGTCTGGGCATCTTTCCGACGAAGTAAAAACGTGCCTTGCTCTCGATTTCTAAAAGGATTCGCAGCAATACGTTAGTACGAGCAAGCGAGGAGGTTTAGTAGTATGCATTCGTACTCGAGGAGCGCTTCAGCGTGGGCTCGACTGATGCTGCCAGCGAAGAAATGCCACGCCTCCTGGTCGTTGCGTCGATCTCGCTCGGCCTTTTCTTCTTCCCTGCGTCGTTCGAGGTCTTCTTCCTCCTTCTCACGTCTTCGAGACTCAGCTGCAGCGGCCGCATCCTCCTCTTCGTGGAGCTGTCGAGCACTAGAGAACGGGAACTGGAATTCCTCCACTGACTCCGCGTCATCGTCGGTCTCGTCGTTTCCAAGGAGACTGCTATTGGTCGCGCGTAGATATACTCCTTTGTCGTTGCCCAGAATCCAGCTACCTCCATACGCAGATCGCTTTCCAGTGCGCAATGCAGCAGAGACTTGTTCGTCTTGTTTCTTCTCCTCGTTGTCTTCCCGAGTGAGCTCCTCGTTGATTGGCATCATGTTCTCATCACGTGGAAGTGTTGTGATGGCTTTCGTGGGGATTCGCAGTAGAGACGTCGAGAAATGATGCAGCGCATCGTCAGTCTGAATGATTTCCAGTGGCGCAGGGTTACCAGACGTCTCCAGAATACCCTATAAGCACAAAAGCTCGTCAGGTTTTCACCTCCTCGTATCGGTTTCTAGTCAGTATCTCACCAATGGCCTTGCTAAACGTGAAAGCTGAATGTGCTCGGTCGCAATGCGATCTCTGCAGATAAACTCCACCATCCGCTCCAGCGCCTCTCGCACAGGAGGATTCTTCTCGTTCTCGCCGAAGTTCGCCTTGCCTACCGTCCACATCCAGCCTTTGTAGCCTGCTGCCTATTGGGCCACAAATTAAAGCTTCCAGTGAGCTTCTGACTCGACGTAATAATGAAAAGCCAATTCACCTCACTCTTGCGTACGCAGCAATGTCGTCGCTGGTCATGACGCGCTTTTGGAGTAAGTCAGCTTTGTGCGAGATGAGGAAGCATGGTGTCTCCTTAGGGGAAAAATATTTGGACAGACAGTGACGCCACTTGTCGATGGCTGCGATGGAGCTCACACGGTGCACGTTGAACACGAAGAAGATGCCGTCCAGATCCTCGCAAAGTAGCGAGTGCAGCGATGACGCACTGACGTCCACCTCGGCACTGGAGACATCCCATAGCTGCAACAACAGCTCCTGGCCGCGATGCTTGTATGCCATTGTGTTCACCTCCACTCCAACGGTAGGTGAGTATGTTGTCGGGTACGAGCGTTGGAGCCAACGTCGCACGATGCTCGTTTTTCCCTGCACAGCATCAACGACAGAGTCAAAACATGGTATAAAGCCAAACACTCGACGGACAGTTAAGCTGATTGTATATACCACCGCGGACCCTCCGACAAGCGCGATCTTGAGCTCTGGCGTTGGATCCAGGCCGTTCTCGGCACGTAGCTTGGCCCAGCGACCGAGTGATTCCTGTGAAACGCCGGTACCGTTACCTCCTGTTGTCCCGGATGATCGTCGGCCGAAGAGGGAAGAGCTGGTTCCCTCGCCGAGGAACGTGGACGAGATCATCTTCATCCATTTCGACGTGGCACTGTCCGCGGTCTCTGCAGGACGCGAGCTCGCCATCGTGACTAGCAAAATTTGCTAAATGACTAATGAATCGATATACCGGTATCCTGAAAGTACGCACAGTGGAATTTCCTGAAAAATGCACATGCAACTACTTTTTGTGAGTGATGGTAAACTCGAGTCTTACACTTCAACGTTATTTCTAAATTAGCCTTACCATGAGCATTGTCGTGTTTACCGGGACGCTTTGCCAGCCGCGTAAGGAGGCAACCGCAGAAGCTGAGCAATATGGCTACGTTGTGGGGGCGCGTCTTACAAAGACGTCGAGCTTTTTGATTTGCGGAGCCAAAGTGGGCGCCAAAAAGATGGAAGAGGCCGAAAAACTGGGTGTGGCAACTTTGACAGAGCTGGAGTGGAGAGAGAAACTGGCGGCAACAGGCTCAGTAGATGGTGAGAAGAAAAAGAGCCAACTGCAGAAGCCGGAGATGGCGCCTCCATCGCTGAAAGCAATTGCGAAGAAGAGAAAAGCCCGCGTCGACGACAACACAGAACCGTCCGTGATGGAAGAGCCTGCAGTGGTTGTGTTCACTGGGACGTTGACAAAGCAGAGTAGGAAGGAGGCGACAGCTGAAGCGGAAGTGAAAGGGTTCCGCGTTCAGCCGAGAATGACCAAGGCCACGACGTTCCTGGTATGTGGGGACAAGGCTGGGCAAAAGCTAAAGGAAGCGGAGAAGTTGGGTGTCACGGTGTTGACGGAGGAGTCAGTGGGAACAAAAACTTGCAGCAATTTCAGCCAAGGCTAAGGTACCGAATTGTTCTGCTAGACCGAGCAAGAAACGAACTGTTGAGGAGAGTATAGAGGTCAGTGAAGATGGTGACGGTGAGGTTGCGTATGACGAGGTGACTGGGGCTGTGAATGGGATCAAACCCAAACAGCTTCTGGTGGACGGAACGTTCCACGATGTTAAGAGCGCATCGGGCTCGACGTACATCGTGAAGCGTATTGGGATGGTCTATTCATGCAGCTGTCCAGCGTGGAGAAACCAGCGCCATCCACCCACGTCGCGGACTTGCAAGCACTTGAAGCAGCTTCTTGGCGAAGAATTCGAAACGATGCGAGCTCGTGGCTCGGCTACAGCTCCTCGTGGCACTGCGTCCGCTGGCGGGGGCAGCTCTCGCGCCGTAGCTAAGACAACAGCGCCAAAAGTCCTTCTAGCTATGAAATGGGAGCGAGAAAAAGACGACCCGGTGGGCTGGTGGATCAGCGAGAAACTGGACGGCGTACGTGCATTCTGGGACTCGTCCAAGAAGATTTTCCTCTCACGTTTAGGCTACGAATACCCCGCACCCAGTTGGTTCACTGCTGGGTTTCCAGACGATGTGGATCTGGACGGAGAGCTCTTTGGAGGTCGAGGCGCATTCCAGTTCACTGTCGGGATTGCCAAGACACAGGGTTCAAAACACTGGGAGAAACTCGTGTACAAAGTGTTTGACGCTCCGAGTCTAAAGACGCAAAAGTTCGAAGAGCGTATGGAACACGCCAAGGACGTCGTGACCAAAGCCTCGTCGAAGTACATTGAGTGGGTGGAGCACACGATGTGCAAGTCTCTCGAACATCTGGACGAAGTGTTCAATGAGATCGAGAAGCTTGGAGGTGAAGGCCTTATGATCCGTGAGCCCGGCAGCAAGTACGCGCAAGGACGATCATCGTCTCTGCTGAAGATCAAGAGATTCCACGACGGTGAGGCGGAGGTGCTCGCCTACGAAGACGGCAAGGGGAAGTATGTGGGTATGGTGGGTGCTCTGCGTTGCCGCATGTCCAGCGGTAAGATGTTTAAAGTAGCCAGCGGACTGTCGGACCAGCAGCGCGACAAGCCTCCCGCCATCGGTAGCATCATTGTGTACAAGTGCCAAGAGCTCACGAACGACGGGAATCCGCGCTTCCCCGTGTTCGTGGGGATCGCTGCCGACAAGACGCGCCCGAAAGACCCCGTCATCGCCAACGCCATGGGTCAAGAGTGATGATCCTTCACAGCGTTCGCAAAATGGGTTTTGGAATTTTTGGGTTTTGGGTATATTGAACGACCCACCCACCCACTCTTTTTTTAGGCTGGGTTTTCTGGATTTATAAAAATAAAGAAAGAACGATAGAGCTGACGCACGCAATACGCAAGTACCATGACTGGCTTTACCTGCACTCGATGCGTTCGCCCATGCATCTTCAGTGCGCCGTCAACTTAAGCGGGTCATTTGCTACAATACCCGCTTTCGGTTAACCAGCTGAAGAGAGCTACCCCAACCACCACCAGTTGTCATTAGAGCACATTTCTCCCTTGGACCGCCCCAAAACTCGGTTAAATGCATCTATATTTTCTTTAACCACCCTACAGCAGGTTATATGCATCTATATTTTCTTTAACCACCCTACAGCATCTCCATATTTCTCTGAGGTGACACAGGTTTTTTATAATTGTATCAATGACGTCATCCAGCAGATAATACCCAGTTTTTTATCCCACCCACCCACAAAAAAATCATTACCCACCCACTCAAATCCGAAAAGCTGGGTTTTGGCGAACCAACTGGACTTTCATTAAAATATCGCTATAGCATTTTAATTGGTCAATAAAAAGTTTCCCTGTTTCCATGCGGTGCTGACACTTTGTATCGACGCAATAATGAGGCGTGGCCGTTCGGACTCTGGCGACGAGTGCGAGTTCTTCCGGCTGCCGTGTATGCTGCTGGTGGAGTTTCTTGATCTACGCGAGGCCATCAACTTGCTAAATACGAGTCGCTGGCTGAAATATGACCGTGTGTTGACGGCGACAGCACTGGAGAAGACGCGCTACGCCCAACATTTCCACCAAAAATGCGCCGCCGACTGGTGGCATCTAACGCCGGCATGGCAGGCAGGCGAGCGTCTGCTGGAGAGCGATTGGGACGAGGAGGAGGACGCAGGGCCCACAGATGTCTGGGAAGACTGTCACGTGCGCACAGCCGCGGGTAAAGAGCTCACCTACTGGAAGGACACAGTGCGAGATACACCCCAATGGCAACATGTTCCTCTGCTGTCCATAATCGACTTTATGGTGACCAAACTGCTCCCTCAGAGCTACATTTCCTTTAAATACGCAGCCACAGTGTACACTGCCAGACCCGTGATTGTTCGACTGCATCCACCCGAGAGTAAAGACAAGGAAAAGAAAGACGGACAGGACGCCGCTGAACAGGATGTTGCACGTCGAATCAGTGGGGCTTTGGGGACTCAGAATGGCAAATTGACGTCGCTTTTCGGTCTCCATTGGGAGAACATGCACGTGGATGTAGACACAGGCAAAGTGACCTGCGCGGTGTGTCAACTGTATGCTGAGGAGGTGGAGAAATACCAGACCAAAGTAGCCAAGATGATAAGTGAGTGGAGAGAAGCAGTGAAAGCTAAACTCCCAGACTGGAAAGAGAAGGGAATGCATCAGATGGAGATCGATCGACGTACGTACGAGATGCGAGAGGACATGATCCCGTACAGTGGCTACTTCACGTCCAACGTCGCACGTCGCCACGGCGATATCATCATTCGCCACATTTGCTCCTACTGGACGACGCTGGATCATCTCCAGATCAACACACTCGGGTATCGAGACGCCTCGCGGCTCGTAGCAGCGTTGACCTCCGACATCCGGAAACAGTGTCAGCACTTTTCAAAGATCAAACAGGCCATGACAAAAGCCTTCCCTCGTGTAGCAAGAATCCGCTACGAAGTCGACGAACCGGAACCTTCACCTGCCACGAACTCGTGGCAGGACACCGCCGTCACCGAACTGGTCGCTGGAGTCTCCCCATCCGGATTTCTTTGCGGCATGTTGTTCATTGAGAAAAGCGTTTGACCCTGGTAGAGTTCCCCATACATTTATTAAAACCGACTGCATGTATCACACAAGTTAGACATCTCATTGAGCAGGACGCTAATTAAGGACAAGTAAGCAAATGAATTTGGTACTACAATTCCGTCTTCTTGGCGTAGACACCAGTGACGCTGTCGTCGGCCTCTTCCATTGCGTCCAGCACAGCGGCCTCATCGGCCATCTTGGTCGATGTAAACAACGTCTCGCGGAGCCAGAAGGCCAAATACACGAGTGCGAGCATTGTCGGGATCTCGACGAGAGCACCAACTACAGCCATAAGTGCTGGGTCCGACTTGAGTCCGAACGACGCGATGGCCACTGCGAGCGCCAGCTCGAAGTTGTTACTGGCAGCTGTGAAGGATAGCGAGACTGTCTGCTCGTATGTTGCACCGAGCCACCAACTCATGAGGAAAGATACCACGAACATGAAGATGAAATAGATGAGTAGCGGTACTGCAGCGTAAATAACCTTGTCCAGGTTTGACGATATGCGTGTGCTCTGTGAGGCGAAGAGCACGATGATCGTGAAGAGCAAAGCCAAGAGCGTCAACACGCCGATGCGAGGTGTGAACTTGTCGAAGTACCAGGTGGTGCCTTTGACTTTGGTGAGCGTGTACCACGTCAATAGAGCTGCCACGAATGGTGCACCCATGTAGATACCGACGTTCTTGGCTACTTCGCCCATAGCGACATGGATCTTGGTGCTCGAATCGATGCCCAGATGACTCGGGAGGTCGTTGATGAATAGCCCAGCGTAAGGAGAGTAGAGTCCAATTGTGAGTACGGAGTTCATGGCTACGATAGCAGCGCAATACTCGGCGTCTCCACCTGCGAGACTGTTCCAGACTACGACCATGGCGATGCAACGTGCGCAACCAACGAGGCTGAGTCCCGTCATGTAGCCAGCGTCATCGTTAAAGAAAGCCGAGGAGAGGAAGAACATGACAAAGGGGCCCAGCACCCAGTTCTGCACTGTTGTAAGTAGCAGCAAGCGCCAGTCAGCGAAGATGCGGTGCACGAGGTTCCAGCGCACCTTGGTGAGTGGCGGGTACATCATGACGAGGAGTCCAATGCCCACGAGGACATTGGTGCCGTCCACGGTGGTGTCGTCGATGAAGTCTTGAATGGCGTCGATCTGGCCTAGACTAAGGCCCAGACCAGCCGCTAAAAGGATCCAGAGCGTGAGGAAGCGGTCCAGGAACGAGACAACACCAGTGCGGGTAGCGGCGGTGGGAGTTGCAGGTTGGTCAAACGGCTGCTGCAGCGAGGGCGAATCAGACATTGCGACTTGGTTGCGGGTTAAACCTTGGAGTTTGTTGCCGTATAGATTGCTCGCGTTAAATTGGCTAATGAGCTCGACAGCGGGTGGCGCTCATGCTGCAGGTGTTGCAAGATTGTCGTGTGGTGCCGCAAAATGTGACCCGCGAAACGATCACCACCTGTGAAGTCGCATCGATTTGCAATATTCTATGCTTGTTCATCATTAAATATCACAGTGCCTTTTTCTTAAGGCGGTCAAAATTGGTACAAATAAGTTTTCCGAAAAGCTTGACACGCGATAGAAGTTGGAACCATTCATTACTTGTAGTCGAGGTGCCAGGCCCTATATTAAGCTAGGAACCTCGACAATTTATGCTAAGTGAAGTCCATTGTCAAGATCTGGTACTTTAATGTGAGGTGGTAGAGACTCTCCACTGGAGAGCTAAGTCGGATGCTTGTCAGGTATATTTCGATATATTGCCGCAGAGAGGACGTCCTGGCGAGATGGCCATTGGGTTTGTCAGGGCTGGACGATAAGAAGTTATTGATCGTATCTTCATATACCGAAGTACACGTATTAGTTCACGTATGGAGAGGAAACGCTCATACACGTTGGCAATGAGACGGACGCAAAACACTTTTGTTGGGCTTGTCTTTGGTCAGGCGCAAAACAGCACTCAAGCGGCTGCCTTCGAGGGCCGGCGACTATGAAAACTCAAGGCAGCAATAAGACGTCGAGTCCGGCCTCAGTTGCTGCCGACGAGTTAGCCGGTGGTGAGACTTGAAGGTCATTCTCGAGTCAAAGATATGCGCTTTGAGGCGTATCGATCGCCAATGTGAATACACCCTTTAGAACTACTGTAGAACTGCGACTCGCTGTGAACATTTTCATCGTCAAGACCGACGAATGAGCATTCGAGTGAGCATTCTAGGCGTCCGCTGCCAATAGCATCCATTGTAATTGCTCGATTAACGCGTTGTTGCGTCTCAGTTGAAGTTCTCCCACACTCAACTATGCACCACTCTCGTTACAGTGTCGGTTGAAGCTCGCTGGGCTTGTCTTTGAAATGGCTTCAGTTTGGTTTAGGCGGACCACTTAGCAATTTGCCCTCGAGAAAGAAAATCGCCTTCACTCTTTCACCAAGCTTCCCGTACATGTCAACATTGCAGCCACTTCAGCACTTGACCCCCGTGCCTCTTGAGCCCACTTTGTCTTCCAAAGCTGCAGCCCCGATCTCCTTCCTGGAGACAATTGACCGCATTGAGATCAACCATACCATCGTTCGCCATGACGTCGTCTACTACGCTGTCGACGTCTTCTTGCTGCATCACACGTCGCGCATCCCGACGCATAACACGCCCACGGCCAACGCCTCGAGGCCTGACTACCAAGTGCTGCACCGTTTCTCCCAGTTCGCTGATCTGCGCTACCAAGCTTGGATCTACGCACAACGCAAGCACGAGGACGGGCACATCTGCAAGTATTGCAGCAAGTACATGCATTTCATCCTGTACTCGCTGTCCCAGCCGAGTATGTACGTCAAGCTGGTCACTAGTGTCGAGCGCCGAAAGAAGGTGCTCAAGAAATTCTGCAACGCCTTCGTGGACATGGCGCGAAGCAGCAAGATGGAGCCGCACTCACGAGAGGCCATGTGTGACAGCTGCCAGGCCATCCCGCATCTTGTCGAAAGCTTCCTCCGCGGATAACGAAGTCCAGTATTGCCAACAAGTATATAAGCTTAACATGCATCTACGTGTACACTAAGAATATATCAAACTACTTCGACGTATCATTTACACGAAGCATTTTCAGGTAGCACAAGTATCGTACGGTAATGATTATACCATTCACTTGAATGTTGTATGTCATTTCGAGTTGCCTTTTGCATTTTGAGTGGCATCGACGCAATGACCGACAACACGACGTATGATCAGGTGTGCGAGGAAGCGAGTGCCGCTGCCGAGATGCGGTTGCTGGAGCACTTTAAGCAGCATGGTGGAGAAGTCTGGAGCATCGGCACTGGCTGCCAGTACTGTCGCCAGAAACTGGAGGACGTGAGCGGCCTTAAGGTGAATCACCGAGTAGCTCTTTGTAATTCTATAATCTTCTCACTGGTAGTGCTGTTTGCATTACTACAGCGCTGCTCCAACTGCGATGCCGCTCTATTCTGCGGTCGCGAGTGTCAGCTCAAGGCCTGGCCGCAGCACAAGGCTGAATGTTGCGTAATTGCGACCTTCCAACGCCTGCACAAGACGAACAGCTCCAACTTAAGGTATTGTTGCCTGTTGTTGTTTATTTCTACACTGATACGCTAACTCTTGAGTTTTCTTTGTAGACTCGCGTCGTTGCTCGAAACGCTGACACTTTCTTCTAGTGTCAAGAAGGCGGACGAGCCCAAGACTGCTGGTGTTGCGAGCTCGATAGGCATAAACAGCCAAGAACTACCCGGCTGGTTCTTCACAGTCAACGTTGAAGAGGTGAGTTGACACTTAAGAAGTGAGTTTAGATCCATGTGCTGACAACCTAATTTACTCGTGTAGGCATCAAAGGAGCGACAAAAGGCCTTATACCAAGCTGTACTGGAGCTCTACGGTCTACTCAAGGACGAAGAGTGCTGGTACGGATTTAATTATAATGTTCGCTTTATGCCAAAGCTTATATTGCTGACGCTATAGGACTCGCGACAAGGAGAGTTTCCCACGTTCAAGCTACACGCTGGTGGAGGTTAGTTGAGGACAACGATTTCGTCTTTGCAGGTTGACAACGTCAGCATTAACGACTTGTGATGCTTAAACAATGCAGTCGCTACCGCATGTGTCTCCTTCTGTAGGCCAGTTGCAAAAGGATTTCGTGGAGATGAATGGACATCTTTTGCTCTTCTCAGCGTGGCTGCAACACCCTGAGCCGCCTGCCACACAAACCATGCCCTTCGAAGACCGCAGCTTCTTTGGTGTAATAGACTCGCTGCTGCAGATCAGGTACGAGGAAGATTCTTTGAGTATTTACTTCGTCATCATTGCTCATGTTGTGTCCTTCATTAGTGCCCTTCGTGATGGAGTTGACGCCTTTATGGATGCGAGATCCTAGTAACAAGACAACACGAAAGCCGCGATTGTATACAGTTTCGTTCATTTAGAAATCAACAACAGGCTCGGATCACACTGCACGTCATGGCAGAGTCAAACACCCATCGCGTCAGCCCCTCACGCCGACACCTTAGCGACGCGGTACAGTGTGTCCAGCATTTCCTCGATATCTTCATCCAGTTCGTAGCACTCGAGTGCAGCCACGACCTTCTCATCGTCGCTCAAAATCAAATCCTTTAGACGCGCTTTCTCCTCTGCCGAGATCAATTTGTCTGCTGCTATGCGACTCGCAGCCTTGAGCGCCAACGCGTAACGTGCACGCTGCGAGAGCGAGCGCTTCTTCTGCGGTCCGTCCTCTCCCAGCTCGCCCTCTAGCAGAAGAGATTGTCCATTAAACGCGCGTTAGAAGTCGCTTTGCTGCTTGATCGCAGTTGCCTCCTCACCGTCAATGATGCCTTTCTCCTCCAGCTCCGTCACCGACGGTCTGTGGCGCAATTGACGCGCGATTTGATCCGCTTTTAGCTGACGCTCCAGCTGGTGCTTCGCTCCTTGCAGTACAGGCGCCACCGCCGCGTCCTGGTCTGCTTAGTAAGGAACAACACACTAGTTAGTAACCCGTCTTTAAACCTCATGACAGACGGTCTCACCTTCCAGTATATTGTGCGAGACGAGTTCATCTTTCTCAGGTCTCGACTCGAGCAAGTGTGAGACCTGGTTCTGCACCAGATTGCGCTCCAGCTTCTTGGCGGTGGCTGTGAGACTCGGCGCCAGCTCGGCGCTCGTCTCAAGCACACCTGTAGTGCGGAGCTCCTCGACGGACGGACGTTTGGTCAGGTGCTGATGCACCTTGTCGGAGTTGATCTGGCGCTGTAGTTTCTCTTGCGTGGCCTGCAGACTAGGCGCCACGCCGTCGCCTCCATGTATGATGTCCAGATCACGCAGCTCCTGCACGTCCGGGCGGCTCTCGAGGCGATGCGCCAGCTCGGCAGCGCTCA